GCCTGCACTCTGAAGGAGTTGCAGTTTAAAAACTAGTGTAAAGCACCCTTCTGGCAAGACAGTGATGGTGAAAGTTTTTCTTTTTCAGGCCACCTTGCCCTGGTGGGAATCGGCCAGTGTGATAATATATAAATGATTTGGCCTCTGTTCTTCCATCCAATATATGGTCATCACTTTATGTTGATGACTTCACTATTGCTTGTGCAGGTGCTGTCACCTCATTACAGTTTCTCTCCAGCATGCAGTCGACCGTGTTTCCAATTGGGCCACCATGCATGGGTTTAAATTTTCCAGTACCAAAACTCACTAGATGCTCTGCCATCTCCGATCATCCTTTGTACCTCTATGGCTCCCGTATCCCTGAACATGATAGTCAGGTTTCTGGGCCTTCTCTTTGACCGTAGGTTATCCTGGAAACCTCACATTGCCTTTCTGAAGGCAACTTGTCACAGCCGGCTGAACCTTCTTAAAACCCTTGCTCATCTTTCATGGGGAGCTGATCGTCGAACTCTCCTTCGCCTACATTCAGCCCTCATTTTATCGAAACTCGATTATGGTGACCAGATCTATTCAGCGGCCTCTCCTGCTACTCTCTAGCCTTAATCCCATCCATCAACAAGGATTCCGTTTATGCCTTGGTGCTTTTCGCTCTTCCCCTGTTGAGAGCCTCTATGCAGAAGCGAATGTTCCATCCTTGTCTGATCGTCGTGATGCTCATTACCTTCGCTACTATGTACGCTCTCACGATCTCCGCAATCCTTCCGTATATAGAATGGTCACCGATATTAGTAGACATTATTTGTTCGCCGTCCCTGTTTGCTCTGTCCCTTCTCTCTTCGCCTACATTCGCTCTTGTCTTCCCTTTGGTTACCACCTTTATATGTTCATGTAGCATCTCACTTTTCCCTACCCCCCCTGGGAAGTTCCAGCTGTTCAGGTCTGTTCTTCCTCACTCCCTTGCTCGAAAGCTCAACTGCCTACGGTGGCTTCTCATTCTCAAGTCTTCTGACGGCGTCGGATTCGCAGCAGTGTTTCCGGACAGCGTCGTGCAAGGGGATTTACTATCTTCGGCTAGCATTTTTACTGCTGAATTGTATGCCATTCTTGCAGCACTTATTCGTATCTCATCTATGCCTGTGTCATTTGTGGTTGTCTCAGACTCCCTTAGGCTATATGGAAATTTGATACACCTCACCCCCTAGTTCTCCGTATCCAACTTTGGCTACGCCGTATCTCTACCAAGCATAAAGGTATTGTTTTTTGTTGGATCCCTGATCATGCTGACGACAAGGCAATGAACAGGCAGACACTGCTGCGCAGTCAGCAGTACATGACCTACCAATTTCATATAGAGGTGTTCCATTTCCGGACTATTTTGCATCATGCATTGGCAACAATGTTGGTCAACTCTACTCGGTAACAAACTTCATTCTATTAAACCGAGTATAGGTTACTGGCCGTCTTCTTGTCATCAGTGCCGAGGTTGGGAGACTACTCTCTCTCCCGCCTTCGCATTGGCCACACTTGTCTTACTCATGGGTATCTCATGGTGAGGCACCCTGTTCCTCTCTGTGAGAAGTGTCAAGTTCCAGTATCCATTAGCCACATTCTGTTAGACTGCCCTCTCTATCAACGAGCACGCAGAATTTACCTCCGTCGTTGTCTCTGCTCTACTACTGTCTTTTTACCTTCCTTTATTGCTGATGGACCCTCCTTTAATCCTGACTCTCTCATCGACTTCTTGACAATGACCGATTTACTCCACAAACTCTGATGATACCTTTCGCACTCCCCTCAGCCCTTTCTACCTCAATCTCTTGCTGCCCTCTACCCTTTCACTATCCACTGCCCTGCTGTTCTCCATAACCTACTACTCGTCCATCACCCTTTTGCCACCTGATACCCTCGCTTCCTGCCCTGCAGTGCTGTATAGCCCTTGTGGTTTATCGCTTCTTTTTTATTGTAATAATATTACTCTGAACCCATTTTTCCCCAATGACTTGTCATAATGGAGTAATGCATTCCCAAGCCATAATAGTACCAATATTTAATTTGGTACTGTTCCTTTTTCATTTAAAAATAATATTCAATATTAATTAAACAGAGAAAGATTGAAGTAGGTAGTGTTTGATGGTTTGTTGCCAGCTACTGCTATTATCACTCTTGGTTAATCATCTGCAGAAAAACTCAACCTTAATCTCTCTTTCACTGTTGAAAGGCACAAAATTAGTCTACTTTTTTTTTTTTAACATTTCTGAAGGTAATGCCTAAAGTGCAGAGAAGCTGGTAAGTTTATGCAAAATTAAGAAAAAAAATAACAATTTAAGAAGTCCAAAACAAACAATATAGATATTGCTGACACTAAAACATTTCCTCTGTTCATTAATCATGTCCTCAGGCCTCTCCTATATTACACTTGCCATCCAGTTTTAATTTATAATCACAAAATAAAAGATTTACTTTATTTCTCAGATAAAATTTAACTAGGAATGATTGGTCATGGTTTATGGCATCCCACTAATTGTGTCAGACCTATTAAAAACCCATAAAATAGACCAGGGGGTGTAGGAAGGCTTACCTGTTCTTGGAAACATTTGACAAAAATTGAATATTTTCTGCTACCTTGAGCCCAATTTCAAGTTACTTCTGATCCTAAAAAACCAACCAAAATCATCTCTTTCGGTAGTACGGCTTTCATTATATCAAATACCAAGAAACGGCAAATAAGACTAAATACCATCGTAGAAAATGTCTCAAAGTTGCTATTTTAAACCAGAAACATGGTCTGAGTTTTGTTTTTCCCATCATGCACCAGATGGGGCAGGATTTTTTTTTTTTTTTTTTATACCATGCACTTGCCGCAATGATAGAGTGGATAGAGGAGCAATGTGGCAGATGTGGTAAGTTATTAAATGCTGTAAAGAGTTTTTATGAGGATAGTGAGGCTCAGGTTAGGGTGTGTAGAAGAGAGGGAGACTACTTCCCGGTAAAAGTAGGTCTTAGACAGGGATGTGTAATGTCACCATGGTTGTTTAATATATTTATAGATGGGGTTGTAAAGGAAGTAAATGCTAGGGTGTTTGGGAGAGGGGTGGGATTAAATTATGGGGAATCAAATTCAAAATGGGAATTGACACAGTTACTTTTTGCTGATGATACTGTGCTTATGGGAGATTCTAAAGAAAAATTGCAAAGGTTAGTGGATGAGTTTGGGAATGTGTGTAAAGGTAGAAAGTTGAAAGTGAACATAGAAAAGAGTAAGGTGATGAGGGTGTCAAATGATTTAGATAAAGAAAAATTGGATATCAAATTGGGGAGGAGGAGTATGGAAGAAGTGAATGTTTTCAGATACTTGGGAGTTGACGTGTCGGCGGATGGATTTATGAAGGATGAGGTTAATCATAGAATTGATGAGGGAAAAAAGGTGAGTGGTGCGTTGAGGTATATGTGGAGTCAAAATACGTTATCTATGGAGGCAAAGAAGGGAATGTATGAAAGTATAGTAGTACCAACACTCTTATATGGGTGTGAAGCTTGGTGGTGTAAATGCAGCAGCGAGGAGACGGTTGGAGGCAGTGGAGATGTCCTGTTTAAAGGCAATGTGTGGTGTAAATATTATGCAGAAAATTCGGAGTGTGGAAATTAGGAGAAGGTGTGGAGTTAATAAAAGTATTAGTCAGAGGGCAGAAGAGGGGTTGTTGAGGTGGTTTGGTCATTTAGAGAGAATGGATCAAAGTAGAATGACATGGAAAGCATATAAATCTATAGGGGAAGGAAGGCGGGGTAGGGGTCGTCCTCGAAAGGGTTGGAGAGAGGGGGTAAAGGAGGTTTTGTGGGTAAGGGGCTTGGACTTCCAGCAAGCGTGCGTGAGCGTGTTAGATAGGAGTGAATGGAGACGAATGGTACTTGGGACCTGACGATCTGTTGGAGTGTGAGCAGGGTAATATTTAGTGAAGGGATTCAGGGAAACCGGTTATTTTCATATAGTCGGACTTGAGTCCTGGAAATGGGAAGTACAATGCCTGCACTTTAAAGGAGGGGTTTGGGATATTGGCAGTTTGGAGGGATATGTTGTGTATCTTTATGTGTGTATGCTTCTAGACTGTTGTATTCTGAGCACCTCTGCAAAAACAGTGATAATGTGCGAGTGTGGTGAAAGTGTTGAATGATGATGAAAGTATTTTCTTTCTTTTTTTGGGTCACCCTGCCTCGGTGGGAGACGGCCGACTTGTTGAAAAAAAAAAAACTTGCCGCAAAGACCCATTCTTCCATATCTAGGCCAAAATTTACTACTAAACTAATTTGAGAGAGTTGATGTCATGACAAAACTACGTGAAGGACCCTGGCTTCAATGATGTAGTTCTACGTGACCGCCACTGAAAGGGTTAATGAAAACTTTTATATTAAGTTTATGGTTGTTACCCAATCTCTGCCAGCCAAACAAGAGCTCTTTATACATGATTAACCCCTCAAGGGAGGGTTACTTGATGTTAGTGAAGAGTTCTTGCTCCAAAGAATTGAACCTTCCTTGGACTGAACCTAATTTCCTCCCATTCTCAAGCATTGTATAACCCCTATGGATTTAGTGCATTTTCCTTAAATGTATTGTTACACTTTTGGGAATGCTAAACAGGGGTCATGCAGCACTTAAGGAAATAGAGATTTTCAGATTCAATCCAAATAATGGGAGGGCAGGTCTAATTCCTTGGACTAAGAGCCCCTCACTAGCATCATTATTATATGCAAAAACTGAACATACAAAATGCTTTTTATAATTAATTCTTAAGAAAATGGATAAGCATATTTGTTTCAAAATGCAAGTGTTATAAGTGTGAAACACTAAGTCAGAGACCTTCCATATTAAGACTATAATTTAAATGCATATGTGGTGTCTCAAATATAAATATGTAGTTAAAATACAAGTTAATGAGCAATGTAATGTATAATACAAATGCAGCCCTTTTAGTATGAATGTGCTCAGGATGTATTGAAAAGACAGCAATTTGAAGTTTAATATTAACAAAACTGACTCATGACCCTTCAAGAGTGGTGCTTTGACAGCAGTAAAGAGTACTCGATCCAAAAAACAAACTACCCACCCTTTCCTTGGATCAAATTCAAATGCCACCCATTTCCCAAGGTGCTGTATAACCCCTACTGATTTAGAGCTCTGATGAAATAAATAATACCTTTAGCTGTGAATGCAATCCCTCAAGTATAACATCAAAAGAATAATTTTTGTACTTAAATACTACATGTTAGAAATACTATAAAAAAAAATTTTTTTAGATCAAATATCACTCAAAAGGAAGCACCTTTCATACATATATTTCAGCATTACCTTACCACCACAAAGTGGTCAAAAGTTGTACTGTCAAAAATCTCTTTAATTTTCACCTTTAAAAAATGAGTCTTTCATTTTGAGTGTTTCAGCATTTTTTCTTTTATGTAATGAGCTGCATTTTGCAGTCTGTTCATAAGTCTATTTTAAAATTGTAAATATTTATTTTTTTACACATTACATTATTATTATTATAATCAAGGGGGAAGCGCTAAACCCGGAGGATTATACAGCGCCTGGGGGGGGGGATGTGGAAGGCATTCAGGCTTAATTCGGGGAACTGGAGCACAGATCCAATTCCCTAAATCAAGAGCCCCTCACCAACATCAAGGAACCTTCCTTGAGGGGTTTACACATTACAAAGCCTTATAAAACCTCCTGTAGACCTCACTTGTATAAGTTACAAAGGTATTTTAGGTTTTATTTGGAAATGCTTTGTTCAGATTATGGTAAATTATTCTGAAAGGTTTTAGCAATAAAAAAAAATTGTACTTTAGATATTTAACCAAAGATATTCATATGTGATTTTAATATTAAATAAAATGACTTTAGCTACAACCAATTAGAAGCTCCTTCAAACATTCCATATTGTCTTTCCTGAAATGACAAATCATACATTTCATGTGTTAAAACATTTAGTGGTTATAAATTATAATATACACAATATGCTCTACAGATGATGGCTATTATAAAATTTTCAAAAATTAAATAAACTTAATTTTATTCACCTTTTCTACTGATACTGTCACTAAGTAAAACTGTGCAAGCTTCTTAACTTGCTGCAGCACATGGGTGATTCTTCATAACTTGAGAAATAGGTGAGTAGTCTTGTTTATATGCTAGTTCTTCTATATAATTTCTGTCTTGTTGACAGCTCTCCTTGCATGAATACACTAGTACAGTGCCCCAGTCAATACTCTTGCCAGGGTTATCTACCTTCAAATGCACTAACAACTGTGGCATCACCTGGTAACACAAAATAGGAAAAATTATCCAAATGTATCATTCACCAAATGACTCGAGTAACAAGAATGAGTGGATTAAAAAAAAAAAAAGATGGGGGGGGGGGGGGGGACTACAAAACATGGAAAAAATACATATCCTAGTACAGGTTGACTATCACTAATCCAGCATCACTGGGACCTGTAGGATACCAGATTACAGAGTGGTTAAGTTAGAATCCACTTAACTGAACAGCGATATTTATGCATTGGCGAGCTGTATAGCCCTTATGGTTTAGCACTTCCTTTTGATAATATGTATTGGCGATTTCACCCACTTTATGCCCATTCCATTATTCCAGTCTACCAAACTTGGCTGTTTTGCTAGTATACCTTCTATTCTGTCAATTGAGAACAAGAAATTGCCCATTTACCTATCTGAACTACCCAATGAAGTGGCCAGAAATTGGTAATTTGGCCAATTCTACACAAATTTCAAGAGATGCCAATTTCAAAATACAGTCCAGAATAAATGCAGACATTCCTGGAACCAAAAGAACATTTTCTCTGTTCATTAGTCACATCTCCAGGCCCCTCTTATATTACGCTTGCTTTCCATTCTGAATTCTTATTCACACAAAATAAGATTTACTGTTATGCAGACAAGTGCATTATTGTAATAACTGTATACATGTCAACCCATTTGTGATTGTGTATTAGACTGGCCAGTTGGACATGTGTTGGACTGTGACACCGTTTGTTTACTCTTGACCTTCAGCAAAAATTGAACATTTCCACTACTTTCAGCTAAATTTCAAGGTGCTTTCCATCAATCAAAATTGTACCTATTTCTGTAGTAAAACCATACGAAAATACGTACACCGCAAATTCGCTGTTTTACAACAAAAATACAGGCATAATTTCTTTTATCATTGTGCACTGCATGCTGCAGGTTTTTTTTTATATAGTGCACACTTATCACACAGACCTATTATCTCATATATAGGCCCAAATTTACCAGTCACAGCTTATCTGAGTGAGCTGAGCTCATGGCAACCGACAGTGGCTTCAAAGCCACCTTATCTTTTATGGACAATGTACAGTGCATGTGCTCTACACAACAAGAAGCATTTCTTTTATTCGTTGGAACCATGGCTAGGGCTAAAAGTGAGCAGATTATAACAAATGGAGAAAAAGAAATTGGAATGACATATCCAGCAAGCAGCGCCACCAAACAGTAATGGCAGGTTGATGTGGCGACCACGGAAATTTGAAATTATGCTAGCGGAAATTAGTGCCTTAACCCTTTGACTATCACGAGCCCCTTTCTGAAACTGTCATTCTATGTTGCAAAATTTTTGGGAAAAAAAAAAAAAATCTTATGAAATGATAAGAGAATCTTTGCCCGATGGTAATGACACCAAAAGTACGAAATTTGATCAACAACTCATGGAATTACACTCCTTCAAAATTAGTGGTCTCGGCGACATATACGCATCAGCGATTTCACAGACTTTGAGCCCTGTTTTTAGCCAATTCCGTTGTTCCAGTTGACCAAACTCGTAGCTATTTCTTTAGAACTATTTTTTCTATCATGAGTACAAGAAACCACCCATTTACTGATCTGAACTACCCAATAAAGTGGTCAGGAATTAGCAATTTGGCCAATTTCACGCAATTAAAAAAGATGCCAATTTCAAAACAGGGTCCAGAATAAACAATGTAGACATTCTTGGCACTAAAATAACATATCCTCTGTTCATTAGTAATGTCTCTAGGCCCCTCTTATATTATTATTGCTTTCTATTTTGATTTTTTATTCATACAAAAAATACAAAATTTACTCTTATGCAGACTACTGCATTATTGTAAAAATGGTATAAATAATATCAGTGCACTAGTGAAAGAATATTAGACTCCCCAGTTAACATGTATTGGATGTGTGGTGTGATTTGCTTACTCCTGAACATTGGTAAAAATCGAAAATTTCTGCTACTTTGAGCTCAATTTCAAGGTCGTTTTCATCGTGAAACTAATCAAAATCATCTCTATTTCTGTAATATGTTTTCCATTTTATCACGTGAGACCACGAAAACGAAAATACAACGATAAATACTATACGAAAATACACTTCAAAGTCAGCGTTTTAATCCAAAAAAAAACGGTCAGGTTTTTTTTTTCTCATTATGCACTGGGTGCTGCAGGATTTTTTTTATGTGGTGCACACTGACCACACAGACCCATTCTCTCACATGTGGGCCTACCAGCTTTCTCCTGCTTGATTTGAAGCTGCTAGAATTTATGCACATTAATACGTCTGAAACACTGGCTCGTAAGACATACATATATGACCAAAACAGTCAAAGGGTTAATACTGATGGAACTGGATTACTGATTGCCGGATTAGTGATGGCTGATCTGTAATACAAACGTTACTGTTTTTAACCCTTTCAGGGTCCGTGCCGTAGATCTATGGCTTTTCATTCAGGGTCCAAACCGTAGATCAACGCCATGAGCTCAGCTCACTCTGATAAGCTGTGAGCAGTAAATTTGGGCCTAGATACGAGAGAATATATCTATGTGGTATGTGTGCACCACATAAAACAAATCCTGCAGCACACAGTGCATAATGAGAGAAAAAACTGAGACCATAATTTTCGATTAAAACAGCGACTTTGCAGTGTTTTTTTTTTTTTTTTATGTTTTCTATAGTTGTATTTACAATTTCTTGGTCTCATTTAATAGAATGGAGGATATACTACAGAAATAGACATGATTTTGATTGGCTTAAGTACTGGAAATGGCTTGAAACTGAGCTCAAAGTAGCAGAAATGTTAAATTTTTGTCGATGTTTAAGAGTAAACAAATGACCTCACAAATCTAATACATGACAGCTGGTGGGTCTAATATACATTAACAAATGTGGTGATATTATTTATACAATTATTACAGTATTGCATAACAGTAAATCTTCTATTTTTTGGTTGGAATAAAAATTCATTATGTGAATAAAAAAATAAAAATGGAATTCATTTGTAAAGCTTGAAAATGTAACTAATGAACAGAGGAAATGTTAGTTTAGTGCCAGGAATGCCTGCATTGTTTATCCTGGACCCTATTTTGAAATTGGAATATTTTGAACTTTGCATTAAATTGGCCAAATTACCAATTTCCGGTCACTTTATTTTGTTGTTGATGCAGTTGATTTGGCGATTTCTTGTGCTCAATCGATAGAATAGAAGTAATACTAGTGAAATAGCTAAGAATTTGGTTGACTGGAATACTGTAATTGCCCTAAAATGGGAGTCAAAGTCGGCAAAATCCCCGTTCCGTAAATATCGCCAACACATCAAAATTCGCGAGAGCATAATTTCATCAAATTTCCATCAAATTTTGTACTTTTTGTTTTATTACCTTCAGAAAAAGATTCTCTACCATTTCATAAGAAAAAATAACAAAATTATTTTTTGAAAATTCTTGGACCCTGATGCACACTTTGAAATTTGGCCTCTGGACCCTGAAAGGGTTAAAGATCAATGTAACATTAAGCATCCCCCCTTTTCATTAAGAATTATTTTTGATTTAAGAAATGAAACCTAACTGCCTCCCATTCTCCATTAACCATTTGAGGGTCGACAGGCCCTCTCCGAAACTCGTTCTCAGGGTCGGCCAAATTTAAAAAAAAAAAAAAAAAAAATCTCTTATGAAAAGATAGAGAATTTTGTCCCGATCATAAGGACACCAAAAGTTTGAAATTTGATGGAAAACTTACGGAATTATGCTCTCGCGAAGTTAGCGGTCTCGGTGGTGTTTACACATCGGCGATTTTGCCCACTTTGAGCCCCCTTTTCGGCCAATTCCACTGTACTAGTCGACAAAAAACATGAATATTTCGCTAGAACTCCATTTTTTTCTATCAAATGGGTGCAAGAAACCACCCATTTATGAAATTCAACTATCCAGTACAGTGGTCAGAATTTAGCAATTTTACCAATTTCACACAAATTTCAAAAGATGCCAATTTCCAAATAGGGTCCAGAACAAACAAGAAAGACATTCCTGGCACTAAAATGACATTTCCTCTGGTCATTAGTCACGTCTCAAGGCCCCTCTTATATTCTTTTGCTTTCCACTTTGAATTTTTATTCTCAAAAAATATAAGATTTACTGTTATGCAGACTACTGCATTAGTGTAAAAAATGGTATAATATTATTGGCGCACTTGTGAAAGAATATTAGACTCACCAGTTGACGTGTATTGGACGCTTGGCACGATTTGTTTACTTTTGAAATTTGGTAAAAATCGAACATTTCTGCTAATTTGAGCTCAATTTCAAGGTACCTTTCATTGTAAATCCAGTCAAAATTATCTCAATTTCTGTAATATGTCTTCCATTCTATAAAATGAGACCAAGAAAACTAGAATACAACAATAAATACCATACGAAAATACAGTGCAAAGTCGCTGTTTTATTACAAAAAAGCGGTCAGTTTTTTTTCTCATTTTGCACTGTGTGCTGCAGGATTTTTTTTAGACTGTGCACACTGACCACATAGACCCATTCTTTCATATGAAGGCCTACCAGCTTTCTCCCACTAGATTTGAGGGCGCTAGAATTTAGGCGTACTAGTACGTCAAAAACCCTGGGTCGTAAGCCGTACTAGTACGTCCGAAACCCTCAAAGGGTTAAGTTAGAGGCTGTCATAATGAAAAGTGCTGTTCTACAAGATACAATACTTGCCCCTCAGCCTCATATCTGACAGATGTAAGCCATAGCATCATGTAGTCTTTTACAGATGATACTAGAATCTGCACAAGTATCATCCATTGAGGACGTTTTAAATCTCCAAGTGGATATAAACCAAGTTTTCCAATGGACCATGGAAAACAATATATTCAATGAGGTCAAATTCCAGTTACTGTTAGGTAAAACTTGAGGAAATAATAGCTACAATGGAGTATACGACAAAGTCTAACTACACAACAGAGCAAAGAACTAATGAGAAGGACCTGGGAGTGTTAAT